AGAAAGAATGAAGAACAACAAGCCAGGCAAGTGGTACACACTGTGACCCAGCACTTAAGAGACCTGAGAGGCAAGAGGGTCAGAAGTTCAAGGTCAGCATGGGCTATACAGCAAGTTCAAGGCGAACCTGGTCAAATAGGAAGACCCAGTCTTAAACAAATAACACAAGCAAGCAAGCAAGCAAGTGAAAGTGAGATTGAGATCCAGCAGGGCTCATGATAAAGCCTTTCCCTCAGGAATACAGACATAGGCAAGGGTTAGACTCATCTAGGACAAGGGTGACTGATGGATCCAGGGCTCAACCCAAGCCCTGGGTTATAAGATAAATCCATCCTTTTGGCTGCCCAAGAGTATATTCATACGAGTTCACATAGATGCATTTCTAAAGACAAGATGGCCATGAATCATGCCTTCCTTATGCTTTATGCACAGGACTTGGGCGGCTCCCTTGGCAGCCTCCGCCATGAATCTGATGTCTGCTGGGGAACTCTAGTCTATCATAGCATCAGTTTCCCTCCTGCACCTCTCAGAAGAGCATAACAGGGTCCTGACTCACAATACAGGCTCAGTAAACACATAGCCGATCAGCCACAGTACCGCTTCCCAGCTTCATACCCTGGGACTCTTCAAACATCCTTACTGAAGTCCCTTCCACGTTATGTCCTGCAAGCCACAAGACAATGCCTTTCCTCTGCAAGCAGCCCAAGGCCCAGCTGGCTTTGTGTGGACAGGCAGCAGAAGTGGGGTCTCCAGGTTTCCCACCCCACCCCCACTGGTTTATTTTATTTTATGTTTTCAGAGATGCTGCCAAAGTAAAGAGGATTAGCCCTGTTCCAGGGTTTCCATGCGCTGTTGTGCATTCCATGGGGCGCTCAGGTTACATTCAGAGGTGGGGCTTATTCCTGGACCAAACTGAGATTGAGCTTCTGTCTGGAGATGGGGGGAGAGGAGGGATGGCAAACTGCAAAACAAATCAGGCCATGAAGCAGGCCTTTTGGCAGGACTCAAAGAGAGCAGAAGTCCACACACATTTGGCATTCATGCACACTCACAAAAATGCACACCCCCCCACACACATTGGCATTCATGCACACTCACAAGAATGAGCACCCCACACACACATCTCCACTTGCAAAAGCACACACTCATAGGCCTGTTGGTTGACATGTGTGTGTGTGTGCGCACACACTTACATGTTCACACTCAACAAACACATGCACATGTCAGGAGAAAGTGGTGTTTATACTTCTCCAGATGCCGTGTTATGCCTTATATATTGTGTCACTCATTTTTTTCTGGCTGCCCTTCAGGGCACATGTGACCACATACTTTGCAGTTGCATAAACAGAGGCTCCAGCTCCAGGTCTGACACTGTGACTGACAGCTCGGGCCGGGCCAGCTCACTCACATCGGTCTTCCTTTCCCGCCAGCTCTGATGTCTCGTGCTTTATAAGGGTAACATCTTGCCATACTTTAAGGTGCCCAGTCCATTCGTCTGATAAAGATAAAGATCTCTGGCTATGGGTTGGCAAGATGACTCTGCTTTCTGCCAAGTCTGACAACCTGAGTTCAATCCCCAGGACCCACATGACAGAGAGAACCAACACTCACAGATTGTCCTATGACTTCTGACACACACAGTAGTACATGTATACACACATACACACACATACACAAAATAAATAAATAAAATAAAAACACGAAGGATTTGTGAAGAGTCCTGTTTATAAGGTTATGAAAGTAAAGATGCTTCACTGGGCTCAGGTGTCTGCACTTTCCGTGTTTCTAATTTCCATTGTGACATTTCAGTCCTTTGGTATTTGGCACAGCTGAGGTGAAGGATGCTACTGGGCAGGCAGTCAGCTTTGAAGCCCAATGGCTACCACATGGAGAACTCACAACCACAGGAACATAAGCAGTGTCCTGATCTCCAAATCTGGTTCTTTCTGTTTATGAAACTCTTGAAGATAAAAGAGTTAATTCTCAAGCAGACTCTTCAACGTTGGCTAAGCCTGCTCGGGGCCTGACTCTTCCAGCCTGCAGACCTCCAATGCCTGGAGGCAATCAGACATCAGACAGTGTTTCCTTCTCCTCTAAGTGACAGCCACAGCTAATGCCAGGGTGGGAGGAGAATGCATCCCAGGTCGCAGCTGCCAGGGACTAGAAAAACTCTTTCTGCTTGACATCACCTTAAGAAAATAGAAATGTCGCGGCTGTGAGGTGTGGGGAAGAATGGAGCGAAGGCTTGCCCTGGCTTCCAAAGCAAAGGGGTCATCAACCCCATCTCTCCTCAGACACAGTCGCTGGTGACAGACAGTAAGGGGGAACTCTAGCAGCCAGAACTTGCTTCTGGACCCCAGCCGGGGGAGGGAGGCACAGAAGGTGCTCTCAGTTTGGAGAAAACACTTAGCCTGGGCTGGTGGTCCCGGGTTCTATAAAAAAGCAGAAACAAGCCTGTAAGCTGCCTCTTCCACAGCATCCGTCAGCTCCTGCCTCCACGTTCCTGCCAGGTTGAAGTTCCTGCCTTGGCTTCCCTCAGTGGACCATGATTCAGGGAACGTAAGCCAAATAAATCTTCTTTACCCCAAGATGCCTTCGGCCAGTGTTTCATCACAGCAATAGTAACCTTCACAGAGACAGCACTGAACCAAAATTAGAGGAGAAAGGCATCCATAGAGATCTTCGTCTTTCCCCTTCCTGCCTTTGCCTCCTCTCCCTCTTCCTTTTTGTGGGTTGTTGATGTTCCTTAAGGGGGGGGGGAGGGAGGGAGGAAAGGAGGGAGGGAGGGAGAGAGGGAGGAAAAAAGGGAGGGAGGGAGGGAGGGAGGGAGGGAGGGAGGGAAAAGGTAAAGATGACTTACAAACAAAAGAAACAGAGGGCTCCCTTTTTATCTTCTAGAGGAGGCCAAGCCTAGGGATGGATGGTTGGAAGGTTAGAGGCTATGCTGAGACCATGACTGCGTTTGGTTGCTGTGAGGATTCCTAGGTACCTTCACACAGTCCCTTCTCCCCTCACAAAATTGGAGAGCAGCTTTGTATTTTTATATGGGGCATTGTGGCACACCCCGTAATCCTAACAACCAGGAGGCTGAGGCAGGAGGATCACCTCCAGTTATAGGGTAGCCTGGGCTACAGAGTGATCCCTTGTCTAAGGGAAAAAAAAGAAAAGAAGAAAGAGGGGCTGTAGGAGGGGGTGGACTTGTTTTTGTGGGTTTTGTTTGTTTGTTTGTTTGGTTGGTTGGTTGGTTGGTTGTTTTTCGAGACAGGATTTCTCCGTGTAGTTTTGGTGCCTGTCCTGGATCTCGAGGGCCATTGTTCTGCCATCCACCGGCAGCGGGGGATCTTGTTGGAGTCAGAGACTTAGTCCACATCCTTTTATCACTCCTGCACTCAGACCGTCACCCAGACACCCATTCATGCAGCCTTGGAGAAGTAAGCACCTGGCCTCCAGGGCATTCGACAGCACCCGCCTCCCCCTGCTCTGGAGCCAGGCAGAGCTGGCTTCCGTGCTCCTGCAGCCACTCTGCCCTGAACCTCTCCTAACCACGCCTCCATGTCCTCAGCTAGGACGGGAGCAAACACGTCAGGCCCTAAAAGTTTCTGGTGACCATCCCCAACCATCTCCAGTGCCAACCCAGCCTTCGGTAATGAGCTTACCTCTGATGGCGGAGATGGTGTCAGGAAGGGTCAAAGTGTGTGGGGAGATAAGTATTTTTAGACCTTTGACTCACACAGCAGGGGTTTCCATATGAACCCAAAATGAGAACTTGCTCAGTTTCTCTATCACTTTCTGTGGCACTGAGCATGGTTTTGGTTCCTCCCTTCACCCTCCCACTTCCCTCAGAATCCTCTCACCCACACCTTGCCCCCTCCATCTGCTTCTTAAACTCTGCGTCCTTTAGTCTTTGCCGTGGCTGCCCATTGCCCAGGCATGAAGCACGCCTTCCCAGCTCAGCAGGCTCTCTGCAGCCCATCCCTCCCTACACACCCAGATCCTTGCTCCTTCCTCTCTTCCCAACCCAGCGAGACGGCAGACATGGAGGCTTCCCCAGCCCTTAGTCCTGTGGGATTCCAGTCTGCTCTGCCCTAGCTCCCATCCCATCTAGGCAGTTCTCATTTGGGCATTCTGGCTCGGAGCTGTTTGTTTATTCGTAGGCCTTTCCAGTGAACTTCACCTTCCCTGAAGGTCTGCGGCTGTCTTCACACTGAATGCAATAACTTGCACAGGAAGACATGCTGGCGAAGGGTTGGTTAGAGTACTGCAACTGTGCCTAGTGACCAGGCCAGACTAGATCCTGCCCCTGTCCACGTCAGTCCCCTTCATAGTCCCACTTGCCAAGGGTGACCCCAAACTTCTGAGTCTCCTAGGTTTTAGCCTAAGTGGGCAGTGTATGAATAAAGCAAGTTTGGGGGTTACCTGGCCTTGTGTGTCTATGTCTGAGAGTGCTCATGATGACTAACACAGTCTCATGTTGGATCACCATATCACCTGCCTGCTGTAGACAGGAATTCAGACAAGTCTGGCTGTCTAGCGCGGCTCATGCCTTCTCAGGAGGCTGTGGGCAGTGGCTGCATCAACCAAAGGCTCCACCAGCACTGGCGTCCTTACTTCAAGTTCACTCACAGACTGCTGGCTGAAGACCTCAGTTCCTTGCCACATAGGCCTCTCCAGAAAGCTAGCTAGCTGCTGGCTTCTCCCACAGTCTAGGCTAGAGCTTCAAAGTCTTTTTAGGACCCAATCTCCAAAGTCACACACCACCATCCCTACCATATGGCATTTTTCATCAGTGAGCCCAGCCCCAAATTGACAGGGCAGCAAATTAAGTCCCACCCTTTAAGGAAGGCACAACAATGAAGGTGTAAGGCTATATCAAATTCTACTGTAGCCTGTTCTTCTAGAGACAAGGGTGCTGAGTGAACAGTGATCTTATACCTTGAATATTTCTTAGAATTCGAAGACATACTTGTCTTTTCACATTCAAACAAATCAGAAGCCAGGCTTATTCCCAGAACACATACACATTTGTGTAAAAGATGCTATATTGTGTGAGGTCCATGTCCAGCATCAGTGTACTGAACCCTTAGAACAATGCTAGGAGATGGGCATTAAGAGGGGTTCCTTGAATGTGAGGGTCCTGGGTGTTGCAAAATGGTGTATGGGCAGCCATGACGGGTTTGAGCCAAGGTGTAAAGACAGCCATGCCATGCAGACACAGCAACAGTGGCATGGTGGGGTGGAAAGTTATACCATGCAGACATGGCATCCAAGTGGGAAGATTTATTATTAAAGGGGGAGGGGAGAGGAAAAAGAGAGGGAAAGAAAGAAAAACAGAGGTGTACACAGCCTTGTGGAAGGAGAGAGAGGGAGAGAGGAAGGAAGAGTGAGAAGGGAGAAGGGTCGTCTCTTAAAGGGGACTTTAGGTAAGATGACGTCAGGATGCTGGGTGGGTCTCCAGGGGCGGGCCAGAATGCTTACACTGGGTGTTTGATGGAGTCACTGGGTTTCCAGGCTGTCTAATGCCCAGAGGACTGACTTCCATGGTTGAAAACTAGGGTGTGTTTTGAAAGCTTCAACTCATTGCTTCTGTCAAGGCTGACTTCTCAACATACTTTTTGGGTCTCTAAGCTATCTGATCATGTTCCATCAGCTTTTGGAGGACTTTCAATGATTCAAATGTCAATCATAGACTCAATGAACCTGCAGGGCAGAACCCTGGAGCCCCAAAGAAAGGGGGGTGGGTGGTATTGGTCACATATACTAGGTTGAGTCACTTAAAGTAAAACACACTCCTGGGTGTGTCTATTAGGAAGTTTCCAGAGATGAGTGGCGTATGTTTCCATGAACTGAGTGGGGAGGAACATCCCTGAACATGGGTAGCTCCATCCCAATGGGCTGGGCCCTGGATGGAAAGAAAAGGCTGTGTGGGGAGCTCACTCATTAGCACCCTCAACTCTCCTTGAGCAAGTGACACTGCCTGTGGGCATCAGAGTCCAGATCTTCTTCCGCTGTTGAACAAGGACTCAGACCAGGAAGTCTCCAAGGGGCTCCTAGGCCTTCAACTTGGTCTGAGGCTGTTCTGGTGTTTGTCTATAGCCCCAACTCACCAGCATGTTTTCCAGGTTGGACTGCACAACCCACCTCCTCCCTAACCCTCTCAAGGAGCCTCGTGGGCTAGTTGGAACATGCCTCTCCTATGACCTTCAGTAAGTGGCTGGAATGGATCAGGACTTCAGGGTTCCACCACAGAGCACAAGCCCCTGACTGTTAGTCTCTTTTTCTGTTACTGAAACTGCAAGCCACAAATAGACCAGTTTATGAAGACAAAGGCTCACATCAGCTTATGATCTAAAGACAGATCCTCAGGGTCAGGTGCCACATCTGCAGGCAGCCCAACATGTTGGAGGGTGTCCTTTCCGGGTGACTTGGTTAGTCTATACCTCTTCCAGGCTGCTTGGCTGGATTCTGCTTCTTCCAGGCATTTGGTCTGGTCTCAGTGTCTTGGTTGTAGTTCTGTCTCTCCAGTTGTCCGCCCACTTATTTCTTACTCTGGAAAGAAAGGCTTAGTGAATCTGGTCAGTTTCAGGGACTTCCTGAAGATCCTTTGAGTTGTTTACCTTCCTGTTTAAGGAGCTTCCCTGCAGGATGGGATGTTTCAATCTCAGAGGAAACTGCTACCCAACATAAGGCCACACAATCTCATTGTATCAAATGTTTTTAAAGAGGAATTCAACCCTAATCACCTCCCAAAGGTGCTTTCTCCAAACATTGTAGTAGATTAAGTTTCCATCCTTTTAATACCACAGAGAGTGCACTGACTTTCAAGGCGAGATTTTACTTGATTTTGGTTGAGATGGGGTCTTGCTCTGTAGCCCTGGCTGGCCTGAAACTCACCATGTAGCTAGGCTGGCCTTCAATTTACAGTGCTTCTGGTTTTTTGCCTCCCTGGGTCTGGGATTACAGGCATACACCAACCAGCTCAGAGTGGGTTTTGATGGGGACATTCCACAGTGCTGGCTCCTCCTGGACATTGACCACATGCTTTAGTTGGTCTGCCTCTCCTCTGCCAGGCAGGAAGCCTCCCCTGCTGAGGCATTGTAGGGGTTTCTGTTCTAGGTAGTGGGTGGGACCAGATCCCAGCTCAGGAGGACACACAGCTGTAGTCACAGCTGTGGTGTTCCTATGGAGAGACTTCCTGCTCCTCACAGCATCTAGAAAACAACCCTCCCCAGCCATCAGAAGCTTGTGTGCCTACAAGGACAAGGAGCAAGAGAGACAAAGCCAGAGCCCCAGACTAGGGATCTCTCTTTTGATGCTAGCGGCAGGAAAAATGACTGCGATCTTGCAACCAAGACCAACTTCTGCATGTGTAGCATCATTTAACAACTAAGAAAAGGAATTTGGTATTAAAGCTTAGCCCTGGTTCCACCTACCACGCTGCATGATAGGCCTTGCTCCACAGTATCTACAGCACCCTGCTAGGAACTATATAAGCTGGTGTTTGGATTTCACCATAGCAAACCATGTCACTTGCTGAGTCTTCTAACTGAGAGACATCTTGTCTTCTGGTCCAAGGGTCCCCTTGAAGGGGGATCTGCTCCATTTAATGTGGGGCTCTGGGGAAGTGTATGGTGCATGAGGAAGGGTCTTGAATGCCTCCCCCATGGGGGTAGAGTCTGGCTTCCTGTTGCCTCATCTAGCTTGTCCTACAGGTGTCTCTGCAGCTGGGTGATCACAGCTGGATGGTTCCTAGGGCTTCTGGTTTCACAACAGCTGGCTCAGGTCTCCTGGGCTGCTGAGTCAGCTCAGCTTCCCTCCACTCCTGGTTCAGCCTCTGCCCTTGACCTGCCTCTTACAGCCCTCTAGCCAGGCCTGAAAACTGAAGGTCAAGAGGCTCCATGTATCTGTACTCCCACCCCAGCCCTACAGGTACCAGACCTTCACAGGGCCATGCCATCTTAACCCTGGGGCCAGCGGTAGATACTTGGTTCTCAAGGCTGGATCCAAGTACTGGATGATAGGGTGTCCCTCTCTCTGTTTCCCACCACTCTGGGCACTCTTTGAGCTGTCCATCTCAAGGGGGGTCACCCATCACAGTGGTAGGACACTGCTCAACAATGTCTGCACAAAACCCAAAGGGGAGTGGGCCAGAGTCTTCAGTTCACAGCTCTCATAACTCATTGTCACTCTTGTTTCTCCCTTGTCCTCCCTCGTGGACCAGAGGAATGGTCCTTCTTTTATTTTGGGGGGTGGGGGTGGGAGGGCTTGCACCCTCATGTGACCTGAGCAGAGACCTCAGAGATCTAGGCATAGAAGAAGGGTCCCCCATTTTGTGGGAAGAAGAGATCCCAGAAATCCTTCCTCCACACCAAGCCTCTCATCTTCCCAGACCCCAGGGTACAGCGGGAAGGAGCAAGGCTGCCCAGACACAGGAGTTATGGGAGAATTAAGTGCCATGGTTTAATATTTGCTCCCTTTCAAATCTAGTCTGTGAAAACATAGCAAAGTATAGTTACTAGTGAAAAGCCTTACTTGCAAGTAAGATTAGCAGGAAGTTTCCTGTGCCAGTATTCAGATGATAAATGAGGATAGCCGAGATGAGGGCAGAGAGGCAGCCTGAAAGTGCATGCCTATGCAACAAAGAACATGAATGCATGAGCTTGATCCTGGTGATGAGATCACAGTAAAGAGTCTTTTCTTCATTCTTCTCACCGGGTATTCCAAATAGTCTATGATTAGCCTGGTTTATCCTTAAATTGGAGGAGGACAAGATATTTAAAAAAAAAAAAGCCTTTCCCCCCAAAATAGGTATTAATGGAGAAATGGTTCAGTGATTAAGAGCATATCTAGAAGACCTGAGTTCAATTCCAAGCACCCTCATTAGCCTGCTGACAATGGCTGGCAATTCCAGTTCCAGGGGATCTAATGCCCTCTTCTATCCCTGCAGGGACCTGCACATAGATGGCAGACACCCAGAGGCATATACACCAAAATTAAAAAACAAAACAAAACTTTATTTAAAAAAATATATATGTGTGTGTGTTTATGCCCTCTGTCCCATATGTCCGCAGGATTTTTTTTTTTGGGGGGGAGTGTTGTTTGTTTGTTCAGTTGGTTGGTTGGTTGGGTTTTTTGAGATAGGATTCTCTCTGTGGCCCTGGCTAGCCTGGAACTCCATATATAGACCAGGCTAGTCTCTCTCTCCTGAGTGCTGAGATTAAAGGCATATGCCACTAAGCCTGGCTTGTTTGTTTTTGAGACAAAGAGTATCACTGTGTTGATCTGGCTGGCCTGGAGCTTGCTCTGTAGCCCAGACTGGTCTTGAATTCACAAAGATCCACCTGCCTCTGCCTCCCAAGTACTGGGGATTAAAGACATGTGCCGACATGTCTGGCCAGTTTTACAGTTTTATCTTGAGAACTTGGGCTCCAGGGAAGAACATCGCTTCTGGTCTGAGAAAGGCAGTACCTGGGAGACTGAGAGTTTTCCTCCTTTCCTCCCCTCAAACCCCTTCTGAACACCCATGAGCATAACCGAGTGTTCTGCTGCTCTGGGTGGGGACGGCTGAAGCACTGTCCATGCACCTTCTCGGTCTACATTTCATATTTGTTGTTTCTGTCCCAGGCCCCGTTCTCAATTTGCCTACTCATCCATGCATACCTTCAGCTTCTGTGTGTAGATGCTGCTGGAAGAAGACTACACCATCCGGACTGGCAAGGAGCCCACGCTGTCTAATGGCCAAGGGTCTGAAAAGGAGCCCCACCGTCTGTGGGTACCGCCTACCCTCGCACTCAGTCACACTGTGGGACCAATCCAACAAAACCCCTAAGAGCATGGGACTGTTACACAGAAGCCAGCATGTGTCATGAACCCGACCTTGGGTACAAAACAAGACCAGCTAGTTTGAGGTCTTGCTTTGGTCCAGTATTTCCTCACTGTGCTCCCTTCCCTTTCTTTTGGAATGGTCATGTACATTCTATGTCATTGTATATTGGAAATATGTGATCTGCTTTTTCATTTTGATTTTACAGGGATCACAATTAAGAGATTGCAGGAATCTCAGAAGAGACTTTGGGTTTCTAAAAAAAAATGAGACTGTTATAGACTATGAGGACTTTTGAAGTTGGACCGAATTTCTGCATTATGATATGGCTACAAACCGATGGGGGCCAGGGAGTGGAATGTGGTGATTTGAACACAAATGGCCCCCATAGGACCATAGGGAGTGGCACTATTAGGAGACATGGCCTTTTTGGAGGAGGTGTGGCTTTGTTGGAGGAGGTGTGTCACTAGGGGGTGGGCTTTGAGATCTTTGAAGCTCAAGCCTGGCCAGTGTGCCACTGTCACTTCCTGCTGCCTGTGGAAGCAGATGTAGAACTCTCTGCTACTGTCTTCAACACCACGTCTGCCTGCAAGCCACAGTGCTTTCCGCCATGCCAGCAATGGACTAGACCTCTGAATGTCAGCCAGCCCCAATTAGATGTTCTCCTTTATAAGAGCTGCCATGGTCATGGTATCGGTTCATAACAATAAAACCCTGACTAAGACCTCACCCCTAGACAAAAAGCAGACAAACAAACAACAAAAAACTGCAAGCAAGTCAGAATGCTGAAAGGGGGACACATAATTGTCTCCAGGGAAGAATCCCCTAATTGGTTATCCAATGTCAATTATTCAGCCCTGAAATCACATACATACAAGCAACACTAAAGGGCATCAGCAGACTGTGTATGTGTGTATGTATGTATGTACGTATGCATGTGTGTGCATATGTATATATAATAATATAAAAAGAAAAAGAGGCTATGAATTTGAGAGGGAGCAAAGGGAAAGGCATAGTAGGAGTTAGAGGAAGGAAATGGAAGGGGAGAAATGATACAACAATATTTTAATATAAAAAAATAAATAGAAGAACTAACCTAGAGAGAGCGCCTAGCACCTGAAGCTACAGACTCTCTGTGTGAACTGCAGGTGTTTAGAACCATAGAGGATGCATCTGGTTGGGAAGAAGGGGGCTTTGAAGAGAACTCAGATGGAAGGTGGGTAGCCAGCAAGGAACCCAGGGCTCTGTGCACTGGGCTACCCCACTACAGAGTAAAGATAGGAGGTGATTGGGGACATCACACTTCTCTGAGGAGAGATTGGGAATCTGAGTAGATGAAATGCCCCATCATGCAGCTCAGCAGTCTCCCGATGTAGGTGATAATGCACACTGGGATGAGCCGTGGATGACAGGACACCGAGGAACAAGTTGCAGCTACTGAGCGCCACCACAGGCTGGACAGATCTGGGTCCAGGAAGACAGGAGGACAGATGGTGTGGGCACACGAGACTGAGCCAGCAGAGAGAGGCATCGCTTAAGGAAAGGAGCCAGCAGGGAAAGTGCTGCACTTCACTGAGTCCTCCAGGTAGGAGACTGCCCCTTCACTGTAGGGATGAGGAAACTGGCGCTCTCTCAGATCAGGTCTCAGAGCTTATGTGAAGACAGGTGGATCCCGAACCCAGATCCTCAACTTCCAGCACTCTCATGCCTAACCGCTACTGCCTGAGACAGATCTGGCTCCAGTTGGTCACAATGTTGAGCAGGGAAGTCTGAAAGAGTGCCAAAGCCTCTCACTGGCAATGTCCCAGCTCAGCTTGCCAAGGCTACACTGTATATGTATACACATTTTAGTGTATCCATTATGTATGCATATATGCATTTTTACACACATTCAGATGCACATTAAATGTATGTTATGCACTCCCTTGTGTATTCCCAGAAATTTCTAGAACGATGTGTGGTCAGACTAAGCAATGTCATCTCCAAGAGGACAGATAGCGTTTGAATACAAAGGAAGGGGATTTCTATTTGATATCCCTTCTTCAAACTTTGGGCTTTTATTCTGTATACACTCCTCTTACTGTAGCATAAAGCTTGGCTCTGCTCTTCCTTGTGTGGGAGAGGTGTGGCCTCTGGGATCCATTGTGCTCCAGAAGAATGTGGGGACAGGGCTGTGCCAGTGTTTATTGATGGGTAGGCAACAATACATCCTTAGAAAGTGTGGATGACTTACCTCGCCTTTACCCCAGAGGGGTCATGAGTATTCCAAAACCTCATGCCAACAATCGATTTGCTTGGTCCTAGAAAAGGGGGCCACTCTGAGCAAACTTCTCAGGTTCTAGGATTTCTGCTGGGAGTCTGGGGAGCTGGGCCTAATAGGTGCATGGAATGGGACAGCTGCTTTTGATTGTAGACCATTCCCCAAGCTCAGCTTGGACAGTGGGTAGGGCATTATTTTGCATCTCTGGGCAGCCTGGATCTTCTCAAGTTGCCAGTCTTCACATGGCACCCGAGCTTCTATTGCTGTCCTTCACTTCTGTCCCCCACAGGAATGACCACTGAGTGCCCATCCTCCTGCATGACTCCTCAGGAGAAGACAAGATGGCCTTTAACCCTGGCAAAGCTTTAGAGAGAAATCCAAAAGGGCCTGGGTCCAAGGAGTTCCCAACACTGAAAAGAGTTAATACAACATGCTAATAATAGTTGACAGGGGAATCTCTGTGAGTTCGAGGCCAGCCTGGTCTACAGAATGAATTCCAAGACAACCAGGCCTACATAGAGAAACCCTGTCTAGAAAAAACTAAAGTAATAATAATAATAATAATAGGAGGAGGATATGAAAAGTGTATTTTACAGCAAGATGTTCTCTGTGGTGTTATGTACCATGATAAAAATAAGAAATTTGCAATGCTTACCATGGGGGAATCAGAGGGTAGCCCAAAACTGAAACACAAATGGACTGGGATATGGTTCAGTAGTAGAGCATTTGCCTGACATGTTCAGGGTCATGGGTTCAATCCCAGCACTGCAACAAACAGACAAACAAAAAAGCTCAAGTGTACTTGTCCTGTTTAGTTTTTATTGTTACCTTGGCAAAGTCTGAGTCATCAGGGAAGAGGGAACCTTGACGGAAGATCTACCCAGGTCAGACTGGCCTGTGGGCATGTTGTGAGGGATTGTTTCGATGGAGGATTGATGTGGGCCTGGGCTATATAAGAAAACTAGCAGAACATGAGCCTGTGAGTGAGCCAAAGAATAGGCTAACAAGTGGGTTTCCTCCAGGGTTTCTGTTTCAGTTCCTGCTTGAGTTCCTGCCCTCCCATCCCTCAGTGATAGATTGTGACCTGGAAGTGTAAGCCGAATAGACTGTTCCCTCTCTGGCTTGCTTTTAGAAACAGAACAATGAAACTGGAACAGTATGTTACATTCATCTATGTCCCTGGACCTACCCTAAAGCTAACTTGTGTAGCGGGGAGGTGGGCAATGTTTGTGGTCTCCATCTTTCCAACAGAGAGAGAGAGGAAGGAGGCTCCTGTGTATCTTAGGAATTGGTTGCAGTGGCCCAGATGAGACCAAGATAGCTTGCTGCTGGGGAACATCCCTGGGCCAGTGTCATGTCTCACAGATCAGCTGAAGTCCCCTAATCCTCCCCTTCTTCATCCGAATGCTTAGGGACACTTGTCTCTTGAGAAAGCCATCATCCTCTAACAACTGATTTCTAACCCATCGATACCACCTCCCCCCCATCAGATACTAAAATACAAACAAGAGAATCCTCCTTTTAAAGCACAAACTTTCAAATATCTGTACCATGGTCCTGGTTTCTCTGCCAACAGACCCTGCCATCTGTATTCAGCCCCCGCTGTGGTGTGGCGGTGTCTTGTCCTTCCTGTAACTCAGGATGTGCTTAGAACTATGCCTGATGCTGCTGTAAGGTCTCAGAACATCAAGAAGTTAGAGGATAAGGACATGGCCAGCACCCTTCCTCCTTGGGAGGAGCCCCTTCGAAAGCGCTGGTCCCAGGAAGGCTGGTGAGACAAGCCACACAGCTGTGTGTCCTCGGGACAGAGGGGCTCAGTCTAGAAGAAGTGTCCGGAGCAGTGCTGCGGAGAGCTGCCAGGCTGAGTGTTACCAGCTTGGGTCTGCCTTGCTTCCAGGAAGACAACAGGAGGCTGGGCCTTGGGAGTATGCCGAGACTGGTCTAGCAAAAAAAGACACTGCTTAGGGACAGGAGCCTGCAACAGACTTCTTCATAAACAGCCCCCAGTGAGGAGATCGAAACCCGCTTCCCAACTTTCCGATGTTGCGACATCACCCAAGTGTTCCGGAGAGACCACACATTGCTTTTCCGGTTGTACAAATATAGACGTGCCTGAAGCAGCCACCAGGGCTCCTGAGGGTCTGTGCCAGAGGGAGGTGCTGCTGGCCCCCAGCTGCTCCCCCATACCCTCACTGTCCCATTGCCCCACTCCTCCAACCCCACACTCTGTCCCCATTGCTTTGAGGACTCCCTGGAGCAGCCCTTCTCACCAAGAATGGAGCTGTTTCCTGACCAATCTTTAAAGGAAACTTGGTCCCACCTAAGATATATCCAGTGCTCCCTGTGTGTGGGTGTCCTGAGGGTAACATTCTTTTGGTCACCAGTAAGGCATCCAGATAAAGATTTCACATGTACCCAGTTGATCTGATCTCCCCCTCAAGGCTAACTATCTATAGACAATCAGGAAAGCTAAGGGCTTTCCTCAAGGGCACAGTGAACATCTCCAGGTCATCTGTGATTTCATTCTAAGATCACATGATCAGCAATATACTTCTTGGGTAGGTCACTCGAAGGCATGCATGGAGCAGATGAATTGAGGGCCTTCAGCTTGGGACAAGAGTTCTTCAAAATGACAAATGCTGGGATCACGTGGTGGTATACACCTTGTATCTCAGCATAGGTACATAGGCCATGGGCCATGGCTGTAAAATGAGGGGCTCCAGGCGGGAGCAGAGTACAACAGAGAGACTGCGAAGTAATGTGTATTGTGTCTTGCTTCATGTTTAATTGACTAGACTGTCATAAGAAAAGATCATGCACTCGGTGGCTTCACAACAGAAAATTGAGCCTCTCACTGGAAGTTCACAGTCAACGTGTCGGTGGGATTGGCTTCTCCTTGGCTGCCTGTGCTCTCTCATGGCCATCTTCCGTGGGTATCCTCATCTCCTCTCATTTTCAGGATGTCCCTGAGGTTTGATTAGGGCTCAGCTTACATCATTCATACTTTTTGTAAAATGCCTGGTATAAGCAACTTAAGGGAGGAAAGATTTCTTTTTCTCCCAGTCTGAGATTTCGGTCCATTAATGGCTGGGGCGGGGTGGGGTGGTGGGGTATGGTGGAATGAGGTGATGGTAGTGTGGGATGGTGGGGTGATGTGGGTGGATAGGGAGGGGTGGAATGGTAGAGTGGGGGTGGTGGGAGGAGTGGCAGAGTGGGCTGTGGTGGAAGAGGGTAGGGAAGTGAGGGGTTCAGTGGTGGTAGTAGAGTGGGGTGGGGTTAGGTGGAGGAGTCAGGTGGTGGTGGTGATTGAGCAACTGGCATCGGGCCAACTCAGAGATGGAACAGGTGGAGACCAAGGATAGACGGACAGACGGATGGACGGACACACACACACACACACACACACACACACACACAGTGGTTGGTTTCCTCTAGCCAGGCCACACCTTCCACAGTTTTCTCACCTCTCAGCTGTCTATTCAGATGGTGAAGTCCCGAGGTTAGCAATCTCATGATCGAATTATTTCTGCAGATGCCTTCACAGACACACCACAGATCCACGTTATTAATCTCATAGGTGTTTATCAGTCTGGTCAAGTTGACAGTCAGGTGAATCACCATGGATTAGGGATAAAGCTTGGTTGGTAGAGTGCTTGCCTCGCATGCACAGAGCCCTTGGTTAAATTTGCAGAATCACAAATACAGGGCATGGTAGACATGCCTGTAATCCCAGTACTCAGGAGGTAGAATTAGAAGTTAAAAGTCATCTTTGATTCCATAGAGAGTTGGAAGGCAGCCTGAGATCCAGGTGACCCTATCTCAAGAAAAAAAGGTTCACAGTTGGGTGTGGTGGCTCACGCCGTTAATCCCAGCACTCAAGTGGCCTAGGCAGGTGGATGTCTGTGAGTTGGAGGCCATCCTTGTCTGCAGAGGATAGCCAGGGCTACACAGACCCTGTCTTGAAAAACAAACAAACAGAAAAAAAAGAGTTGTAAGATGAAGAAAGGATTTGCTATCATGAGCCCATCTCTTGTCAGCTTAACAGCAGAACACATCCTCTTAAACCCTAACAGTCCAGCCCTCACCCCTGAAGTCTCACGTCCACCTCAATGCAAAACGAATTCGGTCCATCCCCATGAGTCCTGTCATGTCAATGCTTCCATATGATTCTCTTGCTCAGAACAAAAAGGCTGAGAAATGTTAAGTTCCAACATGTTGAGTAGAAAAGCCCAAATTCAAAGTTTCCTCTGATACCCAAGGCAACTCCTAGCTATGAGCCACCTGTAAAAGTAAAAAGGCAAGTTCCATACTTTTGACACACAGTGGCATGGCATAAACAGCTCCATTCTGAGAGGTGGGCTAGGCGGACACTGAGGAAAGATCAGACCAAAGATCAGGTGGGGAACACTAAACCCTGAAGTTCCATGTCCATGTCTGGGCACATGGTGTCAGGATGCCAGCTCCAGAGAACTCTGGCAGCTCCGTTCTGTGTCTCAGCCTGCTGCTTGCATCTGCATGGCCTCTCCTTTAGGCCAGCTGTGTTCTCTCTGCCCTGAACTGAAGTATTATTCTATCCTGCTGCTCTGACAGTCTGAAGTCTCTGAAACTGTGGGTAGACACAATTCTCCCCCTGAAGTTATGTGAGATATTTTGTCACAATGATGAGAGGTCTAACCAGAAACACTCTAATGACCTATTTACCTTTAATGACCCCTTTAAAGATCTTAACTAGCCAGGCTTGGTCGCACATACTAAGCTCTTGGTAGCCCGAGGCAGGAAGATTGAATGAGAGGCTAGTCAGGTCTAAACAGCAAGTTCCAGGACAGCCTGGGCTGTAAGAGCCTGTCTCAAACAATAAACAAACTAACTAAAATAATGTTACACTCAGACACCCCGGGGAAGTACTGAAGTGAGAAAATGAATCTTTGACTTTGGGGTGATACAAGCCAGCTGACTGTACTGTACTACGTAATTTTTTTTTTTCTGAATGAAGTACTGTGTGTATACATTTAAAAAGTTAATAAGCATATGACAAGCAAATGAAACCTGGGTAGAAACCTGGTAGCCTGCCTAACCCTGCTTTAATCAGAGATGCAATTTACCCACAGGCATTGGCCACAGACAGTTGTGGTAAGTCACTGCTGGTGCCTCGGGCTTGTCCATCCATGCTCAGTCAAAGCACTAAAACCCCCCACCACCAGACAGAAATCAAGATAAGCCACCCCACACTGTGCTGCTCTGGATAGTCTTTTCTAAGTCTTTTGTCTCCTCTGACTCCATCAAGACTCCAGAGCACCCTTCACTTTCCAAATTTTGACTGACTTACCCTATAGCTTACAACCTCCAGTGGTCTTTTCCTCCTTCTCCTTACTGAATCGGCATCCCCTGAACTCCCCAGACCACCCATGCAAAGCCACATTGGGTCACTTGCCAATCCAGCTGCCCCCTCCCTTGAGGGAGGTACTTGGTAGGTATCTCAGGCTGGCCTTACACTACAGATTCTTCTACCTCAGGCACTCCTCCGGTCTTATAGGCACATGCCACCATGCCCAGTTCCTTATATAATTTTATTATAGGTACTAGCTGGGCAAAGAAGAGAGTTTTCTTGACGCTTAGTATTTGGAATTCATGCTGGGTGGTGGTGACACATGGCTTTATTCCCTGCACTAGGGAGGCAGAAACAAGCAGATCTCTGTAAGTTCGAGGCAGTCTACAATAGTGAGTTCCAGGACAGCCAGGGCAGTCAGTCACTCAGAGAAACACTGTCTCAAAAAAAAAAAAAAAATTGGGGGGTTGGGGATTTAGCTCAGTGGTAGAGTGCTTGCCTAGCAAGCGCAAGGCCCTGGGTTCGA